TCAACCCCTCCTGCAGAGCAGGCTGTGTGTGCCCCAAGTAATGGGAGGGAGTGAGTAGGGGAGAAAGCCAAGTAGAAATGGTGACTTCCAGTTCCATGGGTCAGGCAAGAAAGACTGAGGTCTCAGAGGGAATTACAAAAGGAACACAGAAAATAAACTCGGTACAGACTGGGGAGGGGTCTGATGATTCGAAGAAATCTGGGTTTATTATGCTTTATTGTGATTTTTGGCATGGTAGCAGGTCAGCATAAGCTATGGATATGTGTGAAAAGTACCACCATGGTGTGCACCCCCTAAAACTCTCCCTGGCTGTAGTCAGTGGTACTGGCAAATTTAAAGCCTGTAATTTGGCTAATTTTAGAAGGGGGTTGAAACCGACCATGTTTCCAGTAGCTAGTGCTACATGGTACTGTCTGAGTATTAGAAAGGCAAAATACGTCAGCTCCTGATTTCAGGGTTGGTGTGGGGGCACGTGGCCCCTGGGGCTTTGGGCAGCAAAGATGGGCACCACTGGATTTCAGTCAGGACAGCAGCGTGTGAGGGCTGGCTGGGCACATGCCCAGCTCAGGGCTCATGCACTTCAGGGCTGGGCTGGCAAGCACATCTCCAAGTCCTGGAAATGTATCTTGTAGGAAATTCTCCATCCTTTAGCTGAGGCACATCATTTCTCCTCCCAGACTCTTCGTGGAGGCAACGGGCTTGTGCACTCCTTGTTGAGGCTACTCCTTAGCCCCATTTCGGTGTTTTGTACACAGGGCTCTCCAGCTGCTGCTGTTTTGTTTGAATACATCCCCAGTTTGTAGGCAACCCCTGTTAAAACAGTGGAATGGCCACTCTAGTTCATGCTGGTTTTTAAAAAAATCTGAATCTGGGAGGTGAAGGAGCTGCTATTCAGATACATAGACCAGACTTCCTCGAATTGTGCATATGGCTCCTCGCTGGAAACTGCCATCCTGACCCCTGCAGTGTAGGGGTGTTAAATACTGGTATTAAATACTCCCACTTGGAAGGTGAATGTTCTTTCATTGCTGTCCCACGGTTTGGGTTTTTTCACCCTCTGAACTGGTGCTAAGTAACACACTACTATTCAAAATGAGTTTTGCATAGGGGTTCAGATATTGCTTTTGTCTTAAAATGAGAGAACTACAGAGTTGTCAGGTGACAAAAATAGACAAACTCCTAATATTTTGAAAATATGTCCTTTGGCATGCTGTTTATGTAACCAGATGTCACCAGAACATCGTGGGCATTTGATTGCCATAGACATCAGTGCATGATAAACACAGGCAAATATTTATTAGTATTTTTCATGAGAGTGAGCCTTGAACTAGGTATTGAATGTAGCATAGTAAAAAGGAAATAATTTATAGAAAGTGTATGGAACACCCCTGTGTAATCAGTGTTGAATATCTCATCTTACCTAAGTTACCTGCAAAAGTCTGCAGTTTCTTGTTGACCTAATTATGTAAATCATGACTTCTAAATGTCTATAGTATTGCATATCTGTAGCTGCATGTATTTAAAAGGTCAATCCTACATGTAAAATAAATCACTTTGTTAAAAATATATAATGTAGCCAGGGTAAGATAAAACAGTGTCTTTTGTTGTTTAGCCAGTGTAATTTTGTAATAGAATTTAGAAAATATTTATAAAATTACTATCCTAAGAACTGACATTCTGCTTCCATAACATTCCATCTATATTCTGCAAGATAACGATCTCGAATGCATTTATGTTTATCAGTCCTATAGGAATACAGAACAAAATTAAGTTTTTTTTTCTTTAATATTTTTTAAGATCCTGGGGAATTTTAATAAGATAACCATGGGGGAAGTGATGCTGAAGGATAAGTTAGAACCTAAAAAGTTGTGCAGTAGCCTTGAAAAAATGTAATTCTGCATGGTCTCATGCTTACTGGATTTGTGCATGCTTTATTACTCTGTGGGAACCCAGCCACTCTGGTAATAATTCCACCAGGTTCTGGGCTCAGTGAAGGCAACTTCAGGGGCCTTCAGCTTCAAGAAGCAGAAGCAGCAGGATGCTGTTCTCTGCCACTGCTGGCTTAACAACTTTTCAGTTTTGTGTTGCTGATTTAAAACAAGAGTTCAAAAATTTGCCACATGATGGCACCAGAAAAGAAGAGAAAATAATTCCTGGGACAGCTGCATGGCACACTGCACAGCTGTCAGCAGCACAGATGTAGCTGCACAGCGATGTGCAAATGGTAATAGCTTGTGAAACTGATGATGGCATCGGTGGCTCCCACAAAGTACTAATATGCTGACCCTGTAAGTATATAACTCCATAGTTTTTTTTTAATCTTCATTTCAAATTTGTCATTCATATTGGACCAGATCACAGCCTTTCCTTCTTATTTACCTACTTTAGTGATCTATATACAGAATTTCCCAGGGTCCTTGGTTCTCTGTAAGTCTATAGACTGCTGAGACATGAAACTTCTCATGGCACAGCACCTGACTCTTTTTTTTTTTTTTGCCTTACCTTTTCCACAGAGGATAAGTACAGCGAGTGGAGATGGCCGGCATTATTGCTACCCACACTTTACATGTGCAGTGGACACAGAAAATATCCGCAGAGTGTTCAACGACTGTCGAGACATCATTCAAAGGATGCATCTCCGCCAGTACGAACTCTTGTGAGGGGGATCACCGTGGAACCTGTGGTTTTAAATTCTTTGCTCCTTACTCTTTCTCTTGATACTACCCCACACAGGGTGGAAGAATATACTATAGAAATGTCAGTCTCTTCACTTTGTTTACTTTAATTATTTAACCTTAAAGCTGATTTGAAGCAAGTTTGGGTTATTTTTCCTTCATGCTTTTTGGGACTATTTTTGTGCTTTATTTTGACATGCCACTTCTTCGTCATTCCACTAAGCCCCTCGGCTACCTCTGTTCCCTTAGGTTTTGTTTTTTTAAACTGAATGTGACCTGCTAAATTTTTTCCAGCGGGTTAACCTCGGTTCAAACTGGTATGTCAGCTGGATGACACTAAAGTCATACCTATCCCTCTGTGTGGGTTTCCTTTTGAACATGACATTGAAGAGTACTTGATGGGTGAAAAAAAGATTAATGCACTTTGTATCAGGTTATTAAATACTGTTGAGGAAGTAGACACACAATGTAGCAGCACCACAATATTTATTACTCTGTCACAGTTTTTAGCATTTCTGAGTTGCAGGTCAACTGATAAAGTGACCTCCTCTTTTAAGCCGTTACTGGCACAGGAAGTAGAGTAGATAATGAGAGGAACAGTGAAGACAAAGCAATTTTTCTGGGGTTTTGGAGCTAAGTGTCTCTGCACACCTCAGGCATTTGAATTACAGCTACTTTTCAGCCTGTTGCATCTAGGCAGAAAATTTACCACCCTCACTTATGTTATTTGTGCTGTCCACAAATGATCCTTTTAGTTCCGATCATTCTTGGACAACAGTCCTCTCCCTATATATATTTTTTTGTTTTATTGCTGGTTTATTATATTGTACAGACTGTAAAATGTAATATTATTTTGTACAACTTTATTGAAGAAAAATACTTGTAGAAGATCTTTGTGCCTTGATTATGGCTGTACCTGTAAAATGAGCTAAGATGTAAGTATGTTTTTGATTGCGCTGTACAGCTTGATGTCAACCTTACCTTCAGCAGTGACTGGAGGTAAGAACTTTATCTGTAGAGTTTAGGGGTTTTTTTCTGGTTTATATAAAAATGCTCTTTAGTATAAAAATTATAAATTATGCAAATTAACCACTTACCTTTCCAAGTAAGGTATTACAGTCACCGGATGTTGCAGCAAACATGCCTTTCTCTTTTGAAGTCTCAGCTTTAAAACATTGGAATTCATTCAAGTGTCCAAATTGCAACCTGGTGTTGTTTTAATGGGAACCAAGGATTTAGTTTTTTTTTTTTTTTTTTTTTTTTTTTGTCCTTTATATTTAGAAAATATGTTTGGTAATTCTTTGGTCATTCATAGAACTTCACAATTGCACAGACCGATTGTGAATGTGTAAAGCACCATTATATAGAGCTCTTCAATCTTTGTACCAACAGCAGCTTTCATTGTGCAAGTAAATATCAAGAAAGAAGATAAGAAAAAAAAAAGGTGTATAAACCCTTGTGTCTGGCCTAAGAGAATTACAAGATGACATTTTTATTTCTCTTTTAATAAAGAGACACATTAGAAAATTGTTTTATTTTAAATATTGTAGAATCAAAATGTGTGAATATTTCTCAAACTTGAATAATTTATGCAAATGACATTCTCAAAACAAGTTGTGGTACAGTACAATATATAAAAAGCAAGAATTGCTGTAGCAATAAGGCATGTCCTTTTTAGTAACTATAACACTGCTTTATATTTTATACATAGGTGTTTTATGTCTGTGACTATATACTTTTCCTGTGTCCAAGATAACCTGTACAAATGTCTAAAATTACAGTTGCAATAACAGAAACCTAGAGAAATGTTAGACTACATTACTTTATAGAGTGTTTTACCACACTTTGGACCATTCCCCCCACTCCATTTTAAATTTAGGGAGAGATTAAGAGCTAACACAGTCCCCACATGGCATAAAAATTAGTAGGTTTTATTAACTTTTTACTGTAAGTATCATTATTAGTTATAAACCCCAATCAGACCTCTTTTTAAATTCAGACTACAGACCAGTTGAGAACTTGTTTCTAGTTAAATATAAAACAGTCCCATTTTAGATACTATAATATGACCATTTCTTTTCCCAGAAATGTGTTATGTTCAATTTAGTTATATTTCCCAAAAAGTGAAAGGCTGGGTGGAATAAGCTAATAGTAAACAAAATTCCCAAAATTCTCTCACTTCTTTCCCATGCCAAAGAAAGTAAAAGAGCAAATAACAAAAGATAGTCTTTTTTTTTTTAAACTATCCCCAGCACAGAAGTTCAGGTTAGAGCTCCCAGCCTCTGCAGGAACATCAGCAGGAAAACTAGTTCTGGTGTGAAATAGTCCCTCTGTTTTTTTCCAGGGCAGGTGGGGAGCAGCAGTAGGTTTGTCCACCTTCCCTCACAGAGTGAAGATGCTGAGCTCAGATTTTATCTTCTCCGTGCTGACCCCCAGGCTGGGGCCTCTGGCACAGCTGGTGGCCTCGGCCTCTGGTGCAGTTCAACATGTGACATTACAACAAAGTCAACAGGACTTGGCACCCTGCAGAAATCTAAAATAACATGCACTCCTATCCCTATCTGTCCGTAGACTGAGGGCCAAGGCATAGGATGATGTTACTGCAGCTGTATTTGACCTCCCTTCTTGCAGGAGATCAGAAACTGGAGGGCCTCTCACCACACATCTCTGGGATGCAATAGGGCCCTCTTTTTTTAAGCTCATCATAGCACATCTCTTTGAAAATAGCAGCTTGAGGTGTCACCCTAATTTTTTTTAAGCAGGTTTTAAGTGTGTATCAGCAAACTGGATCCACGAGCTTCTTCCCTTTGTTGTCTGGTAGACGATAACTGCAAATTACAGTCAGCTAACAATTTACTGTGTCAAGAACCAGAAGATCTCTTGTCCCAAACCACAGTCCCCTTACAAATGACACCCTAAAAAGGTTATGGAAATCAGCATCTCTCAGTGCTGATGCATCTAGTTTCTGCCTGACCCTAGAACACAAGCATGACATTAGAAGGGCCATGCAGCAATAAAACAGAGAAACGTTTCCAGTTTGCAGGATTCAGCCTCCACCAGGGTAAGACACTAGTGCAGACAAGTGATGAGGCTATAGGATTTACATAATGTACAGTTACACTTTTAATATACATATTTGATACAAAAATTATAGCAGGAAAAGGACTCATTTGATTGTCGAATACAGTATTTTTGTACAGCATGAAACGTTCATTTCAGTTAATTATTTATCCTGTAGTAGTCATATCAGCTGTATAGGACTTCTATGGTATGTATAAATGCAACCTGCCTTCAGACTAGCAATCAAATTAGGTCATTTGCTGGCATGAATATAGTCTGATGTTTGACTGTTCTCAGCTTTGGTATTTCAGTGACTGAATGCAGATGTCTGGCTCTTCATACTGCTTTATGCTTACTGATTAAACGCTGAGCAAAATAAAACGGTGGAGTGAGAAGCTGAACATGAGCTAGTATCAGGATCACAAACAGAGCACCTGCTGCACAGTATATAGTAAAGACTCTGCTCTCATATGGAAGGAAGCATTTTTGGAGGGAGAAGTCAGTTGGTGTTATGCTGCCCTGGAAAAGAAATGAAGACTGTCACTTTGCTGTGTTACAGTGGGTTCTAAATCAGGAGTAAACACCACGGCTGTCAGATCTCCAATTTCTAAATCCTATGTTGGGTGGCAAGGGTTGGGGCCAGTTTCCTAGTACCAGTGCCTTCTCCAGGGGGCTGAAGAGTCCATACCTTGCGGTGCTGGGCACTAACTGGAATATTCACCAGGCCAACACGAGCCCAGAGGCCAATATTCCCATCTAGAGTAAACAGAGAGCTGGGCTCCTCATCTGATTTGCCTTCAAGAGAAGCCTAACTTTAGCTGCTGTAAATCCACCTGGAAGGAGCCTTTCCAAGCTAAAGTTAGGTTTTGTGAATGTGCCCCTTCCTCCTCCAGAACCCTCCTCCTACCCAGTACGTGCTGCAAAAAAACACGTTGGCTAATCCAAATTATAAACATGAACTTCAACAACAAAGAACTTCATTGGGTTTTGGCTTGACTTTGCAGTTCAAATTAAAGTTTACAATGGACCGAGGCTGAGGAGTTAAAACAGTAGTGAAGATGATGCAACTTTAATTAGCCAACCTCTCGTTTTGCAGTGAAGATGCACTGTCTGGTATGTGCAGAGAATGTGTATAGTTTGAAGGCAGCTACTCTCAGGAATATGGAATAAACAGAACTACTTTCAACAACAAATACTAACAGTTGCATAAAATGAATTTAGAAGTTTGGGGTTATCTGTGTATTAAGCAGCCTAAACTCAACACCAGTAAAAAAATACATAAAAGATTCCCCCCTCAAGTCACAGACTACTCTGTAAACAGATAGTAGGTTTTGCTTCTTACTCCAAGTTTTTAGGAGTTCTGTTTTGTTTTTGAACTTGGGAACTAATTGATTTACCTCTAAGGATATACTGAGCACTGGAACTGCCTGCACAAGCATAACCAACACACTGTATAAAATGTGAATTGGCAATGAGGAGGCAGATTGTGGGCACGTCACAAACGCTGTCACTGCGTGAAGCGGTTAATGCACAAGTCTGAAAACCATCATCACCCTGCAAAAGAGTCTGAGGTGGATACAGTCTTGTTTTTCATAGTTGGTAAATCAACCACGTCAAACTAGTCTTTCTACTGTTCAGTGCACAATACTGATTATTTTTACAAGTCAGTAGTTTACAATGCACCCTCTTTATAAGAAAATGTTAGATGCTTGTACCCATATACTAATTAGGTCTTCAACAGCATTGCTTTGTACCACACAGAACATGTGGCTCCCACAGATGTACTTTATAAAGTGGATGCAGTGTACTGAGTGGGTTGGGTGGGTAGGCAATTTTTTTTTTTTATTTTTTCGTTTTTACAGGTAGAATCAGTTTTAAAATATAGCTGACTGCCATGTTGATTTATTTATGAAAGTTATCTGACAAAAATAAAAAAAAATTAAAACTTACCATGATGAAACTAGGATTGTTTCTATTCCTCCAACTGAATGACGGGACACTGACTTCTGGAATTTTCCCTGCATGCAGCACTTCACAAGCACTATGTGTGTGTCCACTGAGAATCAAACGGGGGTGAAACCACCATATCAGCTAGAACGCAAAATGATAAAGCACAAAACTTAAGTCACAGCTAAAAAAAAATGTAACTTAAAAACCCCTTTTTTTTTCTTCAAACAGAGTGAATTTATGGCAATTCTAATATTCTTACCAAGTGTTTTATGCAAAGTTATGTTTTCCAGTAAGAAATGTGTTGGTATTGCAATATTAATCACACCCATTTGGCCCTGATCCCAAGTTAACTGGGCTGTTATTTTTTTTGCCATACAGATCAGAAGAACAAAGGCAACATCTTGTTGCTATCACAAGTAGAAAAACTTTGGGTTTAGTAAAGCAGTGCTATTTTCTTGTCTAAGGAAGAATTTTGTACTGACAGTCTTGAATGAAGACATTTATGCAGAAGGAAAAAACTACTGACCATTAGGTTTTTGGGGAAAGCCTTATCTTTACATTTTCTTGCACTTACTAATTCAGCAAAAACAATGCTTTCAAAGTATTGGAAAACTGTGGCTTTCTACCAGCTTTGTCAGCAATTCTGTACAGTACAGAAAGTACGAAATTGTAAAGTGGAGGTATCAGCACTGCAGGAGACTTGAGAGTGTTGGGACTTATGACCTATGCCTGGAAAACCCAGCAGGATCAAGGTCATGATCGCAACGATTCTCAGAGGAGCCGCTCTAACAAGCAGCCTCTCGTAGAGCTCATTAGAGCAGGAGCAGGTGTGGTCAGTTTGTCCCAGCTAAGAGCCTTACCACAAGTTTTTAATCTATTTATAGCTACACTTGTGTTCCCCTCTCACCTACCCACCAATACTCAAGTTCCCAATAAGTCAAACCTTTTGTGACGCCTCTTGAGACAGTACATCATACTTTTCTTTAAAGGGGGTGTTCTTCTCCTCTGGAGGAGCAGAATCTTCTCCACTGCATTCAGCATCACTTTTCCGATAGAGAGGGTAGTGCTGGGAGTAATTAAAAGAAAGGACCAGTTGTTAATGATCCAGCCTTTCTGGAAGAGTAATAAATACACAAAAACCCCATGTCAACATGTTGCCTCCCTCCACCTCTAACATACCTGTAAAAGAATGGGTTCTGAAGCTGGAAGCTCTTCCACATCACTGCATCTTTTGTTGGAATGATTTGGTTTCTGTGAATAAAATTAATCCATAGAAGGGGTGAAGGTAAATTAAGCAATAACTAGGTTTTGAGGGGTTGGAGGGGGGTGGTTGTTGGCCTTTTTTTTTTTTTTTTAAAGGGAAAGCAGTTTCAGCTAAGAGCACAGTGTTTAAGCACTATCCACTGTATGAACTTCTGAGAGCCTCTGCTGTGGAGTGATGCAATTCCCTGTTCTGTATATGCTGTAAATACAGCTGCACTCTTTCTGAACGCAGAAAGCAACAGCAGGATCTCACTGCACAAAGGCAAAAGACTTTGGGGGCAGCCCGAGAGAGATAGTCTGCCAATTTTTCCACTGGGACCTGGTTTCCTGATTGACTGCCAGCCCCATCAGTCATGCTGCCCACTGTGCGTCCAGTAGCCCTATGAGAAGGTGAAGAGGAATGAAATACAAGAAGCAATTGGATTTGATGAAAAAATAATACAATTAAAACATTACTAGGCTATCAAGACAGGACTGCAATAGAATCAGGAAACTAAAATAACAGGCTAGCTTGAAGGCTATAAAACAGAATAATATGCATAAACATAAATGCAGGATTATGTATTTTAAATCAAAGGGAGGGTTACAGAACTTCTGCCTTTTTTTTGGAACAGAGGAAATGACACCCTCTGTCGGCAACCCTGACAAGGAAATTAACACCTTAGTGCAAAGCAACACAGTTAAGTAAAAATGGTAAGAGAGAAATGAGGAGAAAGCTTTGCTAACAAGTTGCAATATAAATTGGAAACATCTTTTTCAGGAGAGTCTTGGTTAGCCTGATTATTGCTACAGTATCAGTATTCTCACTGTGGTAACTATGTAGCAGCAATATCCCATTGCTGGCTGTAATCAGATCTTTAATAAACTCTCACCTGCAGGGAGCAATTCAGTTTGTGAGAAAGTGCCACAAGCTTTGCCTCTGAGGTACTGCAGACAGCACAGCCATCACCGTCCATGGCTACACTGTTCACCAGGACAAAGCTGGAAAAGACCAGGGGGTGGATGAAGAGAGGTGAGGAGGGCAGGAAAGCATTTGTTGCTCATGCACACATGCTGGATAAACTTTATTTTATAAAATGCAAGTGTTTGAAAGTTGGACACAGCTCAACAAAACAGCAGAATGTAACAGCTTCTGAAATCTCATGCTAAAAATCCTCTTCTGAGTATCTGCACTGTAGACATTTCTCTGTCTGGTAGACTGCTTTATAACCAGTTCTTAATTAGGTGGCACAATATACCTTATGCTTCATGTTTACACATCAAGATATTTTCATATTTTAACGGATATTCAAGTGGTATTCTCGTGGAATGTTAGAAGTTCGTCACTAAGCTGAATTCTAAGGGAAAGGAGAACTCGCTTTTCTCCCCACACACACTTCAGACCTCAGAGAGAGAATTTTAGACATTCAGTTTCTTCAAGGCAACTGAAAAGCAAAACAACACTGCATTTGGCTGGCTATCCTGAAAAAACGTGGTTTCGCACTTTGCAGTCTCTAGCACAGAAAACAGGATTGTATTTGTAATAGAAGGTTTCCCTGTAGATTTCAAATCACCTTTGAACTTCTGCCACAAGATTCATACCCATTTAGTCACACATTCAGGATCTGAGATATATTCCAGTTCAATTCAGTATGTTTTACAGACACAAATGAGCTGAATGCCTTCACTTAAGAGATACTAGTCAATACCAAAAAAACCAGTTATTCTCTCTTAGCAAATTAAGCTTTTATACCACATATTTGTTGTAAAATAGTTTATCTCAGAACTTTTCATTAATAGTGCAGCTCATTTCAGTTAATGAACGTGATACCAGACATAGTCTGTAACTACACGCACTGCTCTGTTTTATCAAAGGGGAAGTGGAGATGTTCCTTAATAATTATTTTTACAACAGCTGAAATACATATCTAGAGCACCCCACATCTGCATGATAAACTACAGCTTTACAGAGAGCATGCATGAAGCCCATAGATCTTCCTGAAATAAACACAACCATTTCTAGACCTGTTGAGAATATTTTTCACATTTGCTTAATTAAGGAACTGCAAGTTTTGAATCTCACATTTACAAGAGCGATTACAACCGTATGACATGTGCCAATGCAGACTGGCAGTGGGCCTTCCCTTCGTATATCTGAGCTTTAAAGACAAACACCTTTCCACAAACTCACTCTTGGCTTCCCTCATCGAATTCCTGCATGGTATCTGAAGGTAACAGGGCACACAGCAGACGACTGCAGCCACGGACACACATCTGTGAGAACAAACTCTGAAACTAGCTCTACTCCAAGCCAAAAGCAGCTTGTGCGTTATTACTCCACCCTGTGGAAAACCGTGGAAAAGCAACTGCTATGTTCCCAAATTCCTCAAACGAGTTAAGTTCTGCAGAGTAAAGAAGTTATTAAAATTAATGAAACTTTTAATTTGTAAACACAGAGGAAGTTGGTTTTTGTTTCTTTATGAATCCTTTTATGTTTACAGCCATGGTTCATTACCAGCTGAAAGGAAGTATAAAGGCAAACCAAAGAAATGGATTCTGGCTCCACAGTACTCTTCCATTTAAAAGGAAATTGTTACAATTTACCCATCTCAAAGTACGGCTTCCACTGTATATCAAACTACGGCTTTGTACAAAGTGTTTTGGGTTTAACATATCATAAGGTAGATGATTAAAAAGGCTCTAAGCTAAGCATCCCCATACTATTTCATTAAAAATTCCACTTCTGGTTTTCATCACTGGTCTGCTAGCTCACTAATCACTGCTCTAAACATCGAAAAAAAATTTAAATATACTCACTTTATTCCTTTCCGAGTTATTAGCTTTCCTGAAGTCAAGTTGAAAACCTTTTCAAATCGATTTACCTTGTAAGTAGTCATTCTGTGTCACAGAGCAAAAATACAACTGAGGTAAGAAATTGGCATTGGAACTCATCTGACACAGTTGCTTTACAGGCTGTTGGTCATTCATTCGTCTTGCTGCTCCATTATCCAGCTCACACATTCATTCAGCAAACTCACAGGGATGCTCTGACACCCCTCATGTCCTCTTTCCCAGTCCCATCAGGGCAAGCACAGCAGAACAAGGGCACTCACACTCTTCTATGCCGAGATAACAGGAAAGGAAATAGTTCCCACTAAACAGTTTTCTGACAAGGAGACCCAACACAAGGATTCCAAGCCAGCACAGAAAGATCAGCTCTGAACAACTTCTCATATGGTCACAGAAGTATAAAAGTAGCCTGAAACCTGTTTTGTGCACAAGTGGATGTCTTTTAAGGTCTTATCCTAAACTGCAATCCTTTCTGATTACATAATGATCAAAAACTTTCCATATAACCACAGAACAGGTCGCTCAGACACAAAAACAGTTACTGACATTCATTCTTGGCACTTGGGTACTCCTTTCACTGACAAGACTTACTCATAATGAAATCCAATGTCATGATTCCCAACAATGACCACTAGCTCAGTAGAAACTGGATACTTGAACATTTTCCGAAATCTCCTGACATCATCTGCCCATGCCTGCATATAAAAAACAAAAGGAGAAATTAATGCTGTTCCACAGTATCAAAGGGGACCAATAGTATTGCAGTGGGTTTGCACAGCAAGGTTTTGTTACTGGGTGGCTACAGGGGTGGCTTCTCTGGGAAGCTGTCAGAAGCTCCCCCTGTGTCTGACAGAGCCAATGCCAGCCGGCTCCAGGATGGAGCTGCCAGTGGCCAAGGCTGAGCCCATCAGCAACAGTGGCAACACCTCTGGGATAACAGTAAGGAAGGCAGAAAAAAACCTGTGCAATTGCAGCCAGAGAGGAGTGAGAGTATGTGAACAACAGCCCTGCAGGCACCAAGGTCACTGAAGAAGGAGGGGGAAGAAGTGCTCCAGGCACCGGAGCTGAGATTCCCCTATGGTGCAGAACACGGTGAAGCAGCCTGGCCTCCTGCAGCCCATGGAGGTCCACAGAGGAGCAGAGATCCACCTGCAGCCCACGGAGGACCCCAGGCTGGAGCAGGTGGATGCCTGAGGAGGCTGTAACCCCATGGGAAGCCCATGCTGGAGCAGGGTCCTGGCAAAATCTGTGGTGAGAGGACCTAACGCTGGAGCAGGTTTGCTGGCAGGACTTGTGACCCTGCAGGGGACCCACACTGGAGCAGTCTGCTCTTGAATAACTGCAGCCTGTGAAAGGGGCTCACATTGGAAAAGTTGGTGGACTGTCTCCCATGGGAGAGACACCACACTGAACAGGGGAAGAGTGTGAGGAGTCCTCCTGAGGAGGAAGGAGCAGCAGAGACAACATGTGATGAACTGACTGCAACCCCCATTCTCCATCCTCCTGCGCTGCTGGGTGCATGAGGTAGAGAATTGAGAATGTCATTGAGCCCAGGAAGAAGGAAGGGATGGAGGGAAGGTGTTTTAAGATTTGGAACTATTTTCTCAGTACCCTACTCTGATTTGACTGGCAATAAATTAAATTATTTTTCCCCAGGTCTCTTTTGCCCGTGAGGGTAGTTGTTGAGTGATCTCTCCCCATCCTTACCTCGACCCATGAGTCTTTCTTGTATTTTCTCTCCCCTGTTCAGCTGAGGAGGGGAGTAATAGAGCAGCTTTGGTGGGCACCTGACATCCAGCCAGGGTCAGCCCATCACAACTATGTAATACAGAAGCACACACTGAGATGTTAACATTTTGTAAGTTTTATATGAGGGGCAAAATTGTCAAGATACTACCAAAAATGAACTCATATCTAAAAGACTAGAAACTTCTACCAACAACAGGACAACTGTAGCAAAAAAAACCGAAGCCTTGCATACCTAGTCTGCTTTCTTCTGTCATCCATTTCCTTCAAGAAATCCTCATTTTTTGAAATAAGAGAGCTGATGATGTCATACCTGAGGTGAGCTCCATTTGCCTTCATCAAAGATATCTCCCAGAATAAAAACAATATCTGGCTGCAGTAACCATAAGGCAGTTTGGAAAGATCTCTCCATCTGCCATTCCCTGAAAGGAAAATACAGAGCCAGTCATCACTGCCTAACCTCTGGATCCTCAACTCTGAATACACAGACACAGCCTGGCAACGGAAAAGGGAAAATTACTTCCACACACTGAAATATGACAATATAATACGAAATTCAAATTAAATACTTAGAAATCAGCTTTAAGTACAGTAGGTGCATCTTACCTGGTGGGTAATTCTACCACAATACAAACAGGACCAACACATGCAAGAAGTAATACCAGCTTGTTTATTTTTTTCATTACAATTCCATTAAACAGCAATTAATTAGAACACTGAATTACTATCTCATTAGCTACTATTAAAAATACTAAAACTAGGATAGAGGTTATTAAAAAAAATTAATAATTACCTTCTTAGTTTATCAAACCAATGTCCTTTGATTTCACCAAGTAGGTGAGTATCAGCTAAAATCATGGCCTTTAGGACTGAAGCTGAAGTCTCTTTTTCACCCATGGGAGCTCCACCTTTCACTTCTGGCCATCGGCATTGAAAAATCACCACATAATAAATTAAAAATTCACAAAATATGAACACTGAGGTGACAAAGCCCACAAGTTTCAGCAGAAAACAGAGCCTCTTCTTCAGAGGAAGATTCTTCACAGTAGTCGAGCTATAACTCAGCATTGCAGCACCAGCATAAGACTCAGTGGCTCAGTTCTCCTCTCTTGGACAAAAATAGCTAGGAGTAGTCAAAGGAACACGTTGGGTGTTTTGTCAGTACAAAATCCCTGTGGAGAAAATACAAAATAAAATATTCATTAAGTCAGCATTCCCTGTGGAAAACTACCATGCAAGGCCTACAGTGTTAGCTTCCTGTCACCCTGAACGATTTGGGAATGTGTAATTGACCTAAATAGCAAAGTTGGTCTTCTCCTTCTGGTACACAGACAGCCATGCCACTGGGCACAGAACTGCACTCTCTCCTACCAGGACCAAGGAAACCAGTTTAAAGCCAGCCAGGATCTTGGTGCATGATGCCTTTTTTTAGAACTATACAGTGAAAACACTGTGAGTAGGGGTCAAAGATAGGTAACAACAGAGCTTAGCTTAACAGCAGCAGCAAAAACAACAACAAAAAAATCCATACAGAATCATTTAGGTTCAAAAGAATTCTAAAACTGAGCCCAACCCTTAACTCAGCACTGTCAGCACTAAACCATGTCCTTAGGTGCCACATCCACACATCCTTTAAATACCTCCAGAGATGGTGACTCAATCACTTCCCTGGGCAGCCTGTTCCAATAGTGGACAACTCTTTCAGTGAAGAAATTTTTCCTGATGTCAAATCTAAACGTCCCCTAACCAGACATGAGGCTGTTTCCTCTTGTCCTATCACTTATTATTTGGTAGAAGAGACCAACATCTACCTGGCTACAACTTCCTTTCAGGTAGTTATAGAGGGCAATAAGGTCTCCCCTCAGCCTCCTTCTCTCCACCCTAAACAGCTCCTGGAGGGCACCTTCTGGCACAAGTACATAACATGACTACACCAAATTAATTCCATTAGCACTTCTAATATGTCTTGTTGTTACAATCTCCAACAATAAAAAAGCAATTTAGCATCCCAGAACAAGTTTACAGGAGCTTTTCAGGAACACAGGCACAGATACATGGCTATGTCACTAACAATGCTTTGTTTCTAACAAGAGGAAAACAAGAAAAAACCTAAGCCTCAGAAACACAAACTGCACTACAGCTATAGAGAAACGTGTGTAAATGAACCTAAATTGGTAAGGTAACTATATTTACTGCTTTCTTGCACCTTGCATAGCTTGTAACCCAAGCAGGTAACTTTTGAAACTACAGTATTTTTTTTCTGCCCTGTTAAAGGCTAATCCAAAACAAATGCCTTCACTCCAATAAGCAACAATTGTAACAGGGCTTATTGATTGTTTCACTTGTCTACAAGCATTTAAAAGGAACTCATTATTCCTAGTGTAAGGAGGAAATGCCCCCTTTCACCGGTCTCTTTCTTCTACAGTCCTTGACATAAACACACTTTTCCAGTGGAAGTGCCTACAATAAACAAGTGTCCCACCTGAGAGAACAGAGACACAACCCTTACTTCCAGTAAAATCACTCGGCTTCCACGTGCAGCCTCTCGGGTCTGAAGAGCACTGGGTGTCTGAAAGCCTCACTCTTTAAAGGTAAACTGTGGCACAGTTACAGTAAAAGGGACTCCAGGAGAACTATAAAGATGTTACTTCACATGCCCATGGACGAAATTCTAGAGAAAACCACAAAATCTTGTCACCCACCCAAGAATGGGATTGCAATTTTGCTTTCTGCAATAGAAAAATCCTAACATAGTACTAATATACAGGATGTTAGCAATTACTGGACTCAGTACTCAGTGATTAGCAGCCCATGTCCATTTGAATTGACTAAATCCGATTAAAACTGTGAATATTCAGTGCCTTTGACTCTTAAGACCTGAAGTGTTAGGCACATTAGGACAAAATTACAGAGCCACACAAAACTGGATCTTTCTAAAATTCTGGCCTCAGCTGTATATAGAATACAGAATAAAGTTAAATTGCTTAACTGTCCCATGCACTTGCCCGTTTGATTTATGTCTCATGGAAACTGAAAACTGACATAGGATTATTACATTATTTTTCCAACCAAAACCTCTGTTTGATAATAGCCACTTATTTTCAAACACAAGCTTTCCATATCAGCACTATTCGAGTACTTATTCGAGACAAAAAAATCATTAGACTGCATCATGAAATATTTCTAATATGCATTATCTAACATTAGCATGACTAATACTTAATTGCATGCAATTCAGTTCTATCTAAACTTGATTTAGCTGGAGAAAGCCACCGGCCAGACGTCACAATTCCACAATACAGTGGAACTACACATAAAGCCTGATTAACTTGTTTAACATTCATCTCATCTGCACTTTAACTAGCAATCAAAAAGACCTTGTTTGTACATCTCACACCAAGGCAAGATTAAAGCAGAAGTATCTGTTACCCGACACAGCAACAAGGACAAAAGACAGGTAAATTCTTAACTAAACACACAAATTTATATGGCTTTATCCTGCACAAACTGCACCTACCCCAGAATTTGGAAGTAGACTTTGGTAGTCCTAGACAGTTTCCTCTTCCAACAAAAACAGTACTAATCTGAACAGAAATTGTCAGTAAGTTGTTTAACTTGCATTAAGCATGTCCAAAAGAGAAAAAAAAAATCACATCTTCAAGAGCAAAATGATCCCATCAAATGCAAGGAAAAAACCCCCTGCAATTAGTAGAAAATAAAAATATCTTCAAGGTAAAACTGCATTTTCAAAAGTCACAAGCAGCAACTGCCACAATCAAAGCCACAGAGCCAGTTATTTCCACATATGCTCCCTCTCCCATCATTTCTGCTGGTAATCGTTACTATTCTGGGAGTTGTGCCACACATGTGGAAGATGCCAGAGGTCTCCCATCTGCACCCTACATTTCCAGCATTCCTGATAGTGAAAGAAAAAATAGAAAGGGAAATTTAAAAAAAAAATTCACAAAGTCAGTGATGCAGAACAAGCTGAAAGGCAACTGCTACTACAGGTTGAGAGAAATCCTGCCCACCTCGCTCTGCCACCTGCCAGCCCAGGAATGTGGCTGGATGGCTCCACGCATCCCAGGGAATGTGGTTTACTCGGAAACCAAGCACATGCAGCAGGGATCTGAACCTCACATACGGGGACCCAAGGAGCAGAGAGCCACAGCCTCTCACACGTGACGGTGAGGCCAAAAGTGGTGCTGTCAGGCTGCACACACACTGCAAGATGGAGCTGTGGTTCTGCCTGTCACTGCACAGTGCGTTGCTACTCCTCCCCCTTACATGGCTCATTGTTAAGATTAGACTAGAATCTGGTTTCCTAGAGCTTGAGGACCTTAGTCATGAGAAAAGACTGAAGGATTTCTCACTTTTTCTTGTTCTAAATGTATGTGAGCGGCCTGATGCGAAAGTGAGTTTTAAAAGTTTCAAAAGCTCATCACAAAGGTGATTAATATGGTATTTTCACCATATTAATTACTTTCAATTGTTTGGGCAGAGAACTTTATAATGAAAAATATTCTGATCTTCAGTAGCTGGCAAACAGTAAAATTCTGCTAGTCATAACATTTTTTATGCAGTCAATGTATACATTCTTTCGGCAGCAGAGACCCTGAACTTTTCTTCATCAACATGTTTGAAGAATGATTCTGCATGACATTTAAAAATCAGCCTGTGGACAAGGGCAATTACTGATTAATTTAACAACAGGACCAAAGTTTAAACATGCTAGAAGTATAACTTTATACCACAAAACTGTGGGGAAAAATGCTCCAGTGATTAGCACCGATTCCTTCTCCATCATTCATGTCTACTTTGCTTATTAACAAGTTAGAAACATTTTTGCACTTATAATTCTTCCATTATACATGCTATTCTTCCTGTTTTCTTCCATCAAGTTTACTGCAAATGCAGACTTCTATCACGCCTCTTTTCTTTCCCCTTTCCAACTCTGTTCGGAACATTATCCAGCTTTAATTTACAAGTAAGCCAAGAATGAAACAAGGGAACACAGTGCTCTATAGCCAGAGCAGGAGGCAAGGAGTTACCCTCTCTGTCACTTAGTGAATATGTAACTCTGAACATATATGCTTTGAGGTAAATTTCTTTATTAATTTATAACTAGATAAAACTGTCCTAACAAACCAAGTTGGATACAAGAATCTTAATCCTACTCCTAGTCCTACCCCTCATGAGTGTGCACATATTTTTATGAAGCTGAAGAAGCTGTATCAGGCTATAAGCAAGCTTAGTTTTTCTAGCCTTACGATAGTTTTCACTTAGTTCTTCCATCACAATGCCACAAAGCTACAGATTTACAACTTTCAGAAAAATACAATTCTATAATGTAACTATGTTAAACTTTTTGTGAAATGTAGTTACAAACAAGTTCGGGTTCAAAATCTCACAAGGTTCTGCAAGCTAACTTGCAACTGGGAGTTGTCTCTTTTCATGCCAAGCTCTGAAGCAACGCGGTATTTTTGCCTTGTGCACTGTGACTCTCTGTACTCCACTCTCCTTTTTAGCTCTTCAAATACCAGAGCTCTTCAAGTACCTCACTCTTCAATCAAATAAGAGCTTCTGATGAATTCTTCTTTTGATGCTGCAAAACAACTTTCTGACCCATCTTTCTGAATACACTCTTTCCAATTCTGAACCCTAAATCCTTCCTTCATCCACATATTTTAACTTATTATTGTGATTAAAGAAAAATTCCAAGGAGAGATTTAGCATTTTTCTTTTAAGAAACCCCTTTGCAATGATTTAATGATAAAATTAATTTTTGTCTGCATTAGCACGCACTTAGCGCTAAAATTCACAAAGACTGCCAAATCTACACATCTAATTTGATTTAGCTTACAGAAAAGGATAAATTGGGAAATTTAAAGATTTTTGTCATATTCCCATAAACGCCCACAATCACTCCTACAATGAATGTATTTCATAAGTGTGAAAGAGAAGGCTTTGAAACTTAGTTGAAGTTATACAGACCACAGTTTATTTAAAAACCATATAAACAAAAAATCAAAGGCACAAAATACAAAAACATTTCAGAGAAGCTTGTTAGGATCATATTAGTGAATCCATAACATTATCAAAATGAGGTACCACTTAAGCCATGGTAGGTTTAAATGCTGCAGTAAGCATAAAAAAAAAAAGTGGAAACTCTACTTGCCATTAAATTAACCAGTATTTACAAATGTGCTGTAAAAGGAAGCCCATACATTACACTTATTTGTTTCAAGCATTTTTCGTACTCATAGTTCAGTTTCAGACATTCCTGTACAGCATGCTTTAGATCTTCTACCTCTTCAAAAAATTCCTAGGAAAATCAAAAAATATTCACCTTAAACTTTCTTTCAAAGACATTCTCAATACGAGCTAGTCAGCATTTCAGTTCCTCAAAAGTTCAAAGACACCCTCCATATTTTTATTAACATATGATTGAGTCACGCAAACACAGCTATGGTGAAATACAGCAATCAACTATAACCTCAGGTAACAATGTAAAACTCTGCCCTGAACACACAATGCAAGCAGAATTCAAGTTATGTTAGAGCCTGGAGTACAGACTAATAATAGGAAAGACTAATTAAAAAAAAGGGAAAAAATGTTGACTTATCAGGCAGCTACAAAATGACAGTCCAGAATGACAAGGTAATAGGGTCACAGTCCTCTGTGCAAAAACACAACTACACCTCTCAAAATCAGACAGTAGCAGAGAGCACACCATTAACTTCAAGAATCCAAAAGGCAAGGATATGAATAGGGACAAATGAGCAAGGAGAGAGATGAGGAGAGTATACTGAGGAACAAGAAGTTAGTATTTGAAGAAGACAACACTAAAGAGCTTAAGATGGAAAAATGGATACCATATTTAGATCTAGAAAGATGTAAAATCTTGTTAGACCTTAACCGCTTTGTAAATTGCTAGTACCTACTCAGAACTTCAAGTACAACTACATTGTGTTAATGAATGTCCTATTTCAGATTAGGATCTATTATTTCTCACTACAGTATGTTAAAAAGTTTGATTTTCATATTCGAAAGGATAAGATTTATGATGCATTAAACTTGACGTAGCCTAAAACACTATCCAATAGGTTCAACTGGTTCAGATAAAAGCAAGTGACAACAAAGGAGGGAAAAAGAGCAATATGTAAGGCTACACAGAACATAAAGAGACAGGCCAATATGAAATCCACAGAAAAAAGTTCTGTTGAACATGGAATCATAGAATGGTTTGGGTTAGAAGAGACAAAGATCACCTAGTTACAGCCCCCCTGCCATGGGCAGGACACGTTCCACTAGATCAGGTTCCTCAGGTCCCCAGCCGACCTGGACTTGAACAGTTCCAGGGATGGAACATCTACAACTTCTCTGGGCAACCTGTTCCAGTGCCTCACCACCCTCACAGCAAAGAATTTCTTCCTAATATCTCATCTAAACACACCCTATTTCAGTTTAAAGCCATTGCCCCTTGTCCTGTCACTACATCACTACATGCCCTTGTGAAAAGTCCCTCTCCTGTTTTCTTGCAGGCCCCCTTTAGGTACTGGAAGGTGCTATGAGGTCTCCCCAGAGCCTTCTCTTATCCAGGCTTAACAACCCCAACTCTCTCAGTTTGTCTTCATAGGAGAGGTGCTCCAGCTCATTTAATGTCAGGCTGTGTGGTTTCACTTTCTCATATTGATCCTTTTGCAATTATACTATCCCAGAATGGATAACTGAGCACATAGTTCTACTTAGACTTAATTCAAATACAAGACAAACCCAGATTCACAGAAATAATCTTCATATATGGAATTATGTTTTGTTCAGCTCCTGCAGCTCAAGTCTATTGAGCAATTCTGACTCTTTGTAAGTGAAGTCAGAAATTGCAGGGAAATATATGGACAGAAAGTGGAGTGTAATTACTGAAGTCTTCATTTCACCAACCATGGAAACTCCTATCTACCAAAGTAACAATGTATCTACCTACATCCATCTGTATTTAACATTTTCTCCTGCCTATTCTTCTTTTTTTAATTAATAGCTACATACATCTTAAATAACATACAGTGCCTTAAAACTACCTAAAAAAGGGTCACTGATAAAAAGTCATGACCTCAGATTTACATATTTCTCTTCTGGAAGATGAAACTTTTAGCCACAAGCTGTCCCTAACTCCCAAACATGGGGACCTAGAATTCACCCTGGCTCAGTGTTCTACCAGTTTCACACCCAATGAACTACCATCATCTTTTACTGCTACCCCTTAATGAAAGCTAGCTTAAAGTTATTTAGTTTGTGAGAAAGGACTGCAAGGTAAGAAAACAGATTCTAAAAAAAAAAAAAAATCCAATACAAGATCTGAGAAATAAGCAAAAAACAGTTCAAACAAGTCTGTTGCTGAAAATAAAATCTTATGTCAGCACGTTAAACAGAGCCCTCTACAGCTAGATAAGATCTCTTCATCTTCTTACATTATTTCAAGAATTACCAAATTTTTGCACTTTCACTTTCTACACCTATCGATCTATCACAGAAACTTCAAAGCCTCTGCCCTCCCCAAGCCTGGAGTTCTGTCAGAGGCATAAATTTGATATGTTTGAGTTCAGGAGAAAATAGCTTTCTTTTCACTGAAATCATGAAGCAATAAAAGTGATCAGTCAAAAACCTATTTTTATTCTCTCTGCAAGTACCTGTTGGAAGAAATTAAGACTGTACCAGCAGTTACAATTTTAATGTCAAAACGAGCAATGTCAAAACAAGCTGAGAAAAATAATCTTTCATAAAGGAATTCAAATAGCCCAAATATTAAAAAAAATAAAAAATCCACAGCTATGGATTAAAACCAAAAATAAAGCCAAAACCATAAAATTAAAATTGCATTATTCCTCTTCCTTAGCCAAGCAGCACTGTAGGACATGAATGTTTCAAGGAGTCATTCATTTCCATCTCTCTCAGAATGCTATACACTGATTTTTTTTGTATTTGGCTTGATAACAACATATGTTCAGCCTAAAGATGTTTTGGTTCAGGTAGAAAAGTTAGTTTTTCAAAAATCAGCTCCTGTTAAACTTGTCTTAAAATAAATTACCTTGTCTAATCCAGCTAATTCATTTTTTAGTGCTCTCTTTTCTGCAGACAACTTTCCATTTTCTTTCTTCAGCTTTTTAATCTCCTTCAACAATAGCTCTACATTCAAATAAAAAAATGTACACTTCAACCAATACAGTCAACCTCCCACTCATATGAATCATACGACAGCTAAAGAGCTGCCTACCTTTTGTGATATTAGAAAATTAAAGTATCTTTTTCATAAAGTGATTTATTCTTAAGAACTGGCCCAGAACATACCCAAGTACTATGAAAGACAGCAGGATTTGCCAACTGGATAATCTGAATTTGCCAGATTCTTAGAATGGAGGATTATTTTACTTTAAAAATCCACAAAACATACATCACATGCTTCAATTACCTTTTTCTGACTTACAAGAGGGTCACATTAGCCCTTGCTGACATCACATTTCCTGAAAATTATGCCTACATTATAAGATCTCTTCCACTTCTTTTCTATGCTTTGACGTAGAACAGGATTGCACCTTAACTTGTGGATTTACTTGTGAGGCAGAACATGCTGAAATCAGTATTGCCTAGGTTTGTCCAACATTTTAGGGCTAAACCCAGGTTATTTTGTATATCAGTGTCTGAAAACCAAAGAATGGTGCAGTAAACATACTACTAAGAGATCTGCATACATACATCTTACCAGAATAAAGAATAAATAGCTCTAAATACAGCCACACACTCCTACCCATGATTTTATCAACCTACCAATTCCAGAAAAGCAGCAAACATTTAAACACAAACAAATGCAAGGCTGAATCCCAGACTACGAGATGCCGTTTTTACATAACAGGTTTTCAAAAATGAAAAGAACATTTTAGCTAATGCTGGTTGAAGTAGAAGAATGGCCTCTAGGTCAGAAATGAAATGCATTCTCTCTGATGGGCATACTGGAAGGAACATCATCAGAATTAAGGGCACCATTACCTAAATATTTACTGCAACAGGATTCCTTCTCTTCAGAAATGTCCCTGTGAGAAGTTATTCCTCCCTCTGAGGTTCGACTTCTTTTTTCAGAAACAGCATTAGTTTTCCAAGAAACCTTTTTACATTCCAGTTGTTCAATTCTTTGCCTCTGCTCTTGAAGATTATGCTCTAGCTCATGAATTTTAATCTGTTGAGAAAAATTTTTTTAAACTGAACAGAAAAAACACAGTTCAACTGAATACCACTGAAAACACATTCTGAATACAAACCCAGAGCTTTCATTTGCTGACTTAAAACTACATTCATCCAAAGGGTCTGAAAGGAGAAAAAAGAAAAAGCTTCACAGCAAGTGAAGCTTTGCATACGTCAAGTGTTTTAAAAAAATCTGCGAGCACATGCTTGCAAGACAATCATGGAATCACAGAATGGTTTGGATTGGAAGGGACCTTAAAGACCATCTAGTTTCAACCCCCCTGCCACGGGCAGAGACCCCTTCCACTAGAGCAGGGTGCTCAAAGCCCCATCCAAACTGGCCTTGAAAACACTTCCGGGGGGAAGCATCCACAACTTCTCTGGGCAACCTGTTCCAGAACAATATAAATGCACAAAGAAACTAAACCTTCCCTCACAGCAAAGCATACCTTCATGGCAGCAATTCCCAACTTCTAAGAAAAAGTACATATAATCCAAATTATAATTAATACTAATTCACAAACAAATAAGGCACAAAAGAGGAAATGAGACTGGTCAATGCAATGCTTGATCAATTGCCCAAAGAGGCAATACCCACTTGAACCACTGGAACCACTCCTGGTCACGCAACTCTACCTTCACTTCAGTTAGGATGTTAGTCTCTTTGCACAGCAAGCCCACAGGTCATGCTACCTGAAAGAAGACTGCTTGCCTCCATTTGGTTTGCTACTGCTGAATTTCTGAAATAAATCAGCTCTTGACACACACAGAAAAATATCAGGGCAAGGCAGGTCAAAAGATGTACATACAATTGGAAGGACAGGTAGGGAGATGAGTAAAGAAAAAAGCAAGGAAAGGGGAGACAGCTTTCTGTTACCAGAGACAAAAGTTCATTTTCAAAGGGAACTACAGGCTACTCTCCATTATCTCAACATCATGAGAAACAAAAATAAGTATAACAGGAAAAGCATGATCTCATTGCACAAACGCAAGAAACACTTTCCAGTCTCCCTAAAAGCTTACGTTTGGCTATTTGATACCACCTCCTACAAATTCTACTTACAGTGAGATTTTTAATTGCTTCACTTTGCTCCTTGTTTTTTTTGCTTTCTCTAACGTAACGTTTCTGTAGCTCATTATACATATGAAGCAGTCTAAAACAGAAGAAATGCATAAATTGCAGTAAAACACAAAAGCCAAAAAACATGCATCCCTTATGGCAAAGGTGTTAGAGACACCTCACAGAGATCACTTGGGCTGTAGCTGCACTGCAGAGACTTGTAACAGAAATATTTAAGATGGGCGTGAATGAAGTGAGACTGTCAACACAGAAAGAGAAAGTACCAGAAAACAACAATAAGCAAGTTAAAAGAATGGTCTGTATGGATGGCAAAGAATATCTTTCACTCAGCCAGACTGAAGACCCTGTTTTGTCCAGCACACATGGCCACATTCTGATTAAACCTCAGTGAAAATGACTCTTTGATGCAAGACCTATACACCAGCAACAGGAGGGTGGCAATGACTGCAGCGTCACATATATAATTCCTCTCCCTGTTAGCACAGCAGGAATAGCACAAAGACACTCCTAAAGGATTTTAAAATGTTTGTCCAGAAACTAATTTCTTGCCACCAATGAAGAACCCATAATGAGGACACATGAGGCAGAGTCCCCAGCTCTCTGTGTTGCACAAAACATCTCATTGCTTCCAAGTGTGTAGCTGTGAGGATACGAGTGAGTGAAATCAATGAGAAAATGAGTGAGAGGGCAAAAATCAATGTAAAATAAACAGATTTGGGATGTTATCTTTCTCTTTGATATTACCTTGCATAGACTTCTGCTACACTAATTTCCTGCCATATTATATGGCATTCAGTTTCCATATATGAGGGCCAGAACATAACTGACTACATTTTTCCTAATTTTTTCTAGTAATTCATACTAAGTCATGACTGTGCACTACAAACAGGATGAGCTAGACTGTAGGACAGCACAGCTTTGTAAAACAACATACAAACAGATGGTAGAAAAAAATGGTACGTCAGGTTAACTGCATCCTAATATAGAGCGGGTCTAGCACTTGATTCAAAGACTAACTTGGACTTCTTCCCCATAAGCATCTAACTAGGTACTCAATTCCAGGTCAGAGCCAGTCACCAAGCCTTCCTATGTAGTTTGCAAAGAGAGTCTGGTACACTGAAAAGGTATTTAACAAAACAAAAATACACCAAAAAAACCCAAAACAAACCAAACCAAACAAACAAAAAAATTTAAAAGGGCGTTCTAAAGACACCTAAAGGAAAGATTAAAAACAGGGTGCTTGGCCAAAAAGCCGTAGGGACTGCCTCAATCTGTGTAAGATCCACAGCCCACTTATGTAAGTGAACAAAAAGTAGCCTTAGAAGAGATGGAGTAGTTTGTTTTACAGTCAAGCCACAGAAGAACGGAACAATATTTTATGTCACTTTCCTAGTTATTAAAATGTTTCAATGTATATTTTATCAAATAAAAAAATGTATCTTTGCATCAGAAAAGCAGTTATAAGAGTTTCATTCTAGCATTAATTGGCAAACTACAGTAAGTAGTGGCTCAACTCTAGAATTAACTACACCGAAGAGTAAAATCACTTCTCTGGGTTATTTTGAATCAGCCCATAAATTTTATATACACATAAAACTGAGCTATATAAAATGAGTTAACAAAGCTGCCACAAAATAGAAGGTGGTTAAAAAATCTACAAAATCTTAAAAAAAATCTACACACACATAAAGTAACTTCCTGGCTCATTAAATTTTTCTCAATTAAAGATTCAAGAAAGAAATCCATTTTGCTCTTTCTTTAGTGCCATTTTCAAGTTTAATCTAAGGTTTTGTAAATCCTTTTAAAATGCAAATGATTTTCCACTGTTTCAAAGGCTGAAAGCCACCTCACCTCCATAAGTTATAAATTTCACTGACTTAACCATGAACAACATATTCTACCCTACAGAGAAGAATATTTACTACTGTGAAGAAGCAACTTCCAAGAACTCACCTGACACTGTCACACTCTAGAACAAAATCCTTGCTGTCTCCACCCTTATGCCATAAATGGGTTTCTGTTTGAACCTGAACACTTCATTGAAAGAAAAACAACAGCTTAATAAAATTAGATTTTACAATTCAATTGGATCAAACAAAACAACTGAAAAAAATCAAAGTTACTTTTCAGTTTGATTTTACAGTAGAGGTTTCCACACAGGATCATAAACATACCAAAATTTAAATTTTGACGATTTTTGCAGACCACTACTTAAATCCTGGCAGGATACTTTCCAAAACACTGGCACTACAGTTTTCCAGGTCCAAAGGTCTCGGTTTCTAAATCTTTTAAATAGCATTGATGCAATTTAACTATCTTACTACTGTTTGGTGGAAAAATAAATGTAAAAGTCTGCAGTTAGACAGAGAGTATGTTGGCTAAGCAGGTGTACTACTTGTTGATATTAAAACTGTTTTTTTCACTACAATAATGAATTCCGTACAAGTTGCCCCAGACAGCCTTTGTTCCTTTACATGCCTCAAGCATCTTCTACCTCCACCATCCTGGTCACAGATGGCCCCTCAAAATATGTGCACTAGATAAGGCCTAGTTCATCTGAAAACGTGAAGGTAAAAGTCCTGAAATGTTGCACGTCTTTTGATGCAAAAAGAAACATTTGACACTTCTTACTCTCTGCTTGTGCCACAGTCATGCATTAACTGCTGCAGATGCAACTTTTCTTGGATCTGACCCAGATTCTTTTCTAGCTCCTTATTTTTTATGTGTAGTCTTTTCACCTTCTTGACTAACTGTTCATTTTCATCACTGAGCTGAAAAGGAAGAGAATTTAAAAAAAAATAAAAAACAAGGAACATTTTTAGATCAGGTATGTAGTAGGTTGATAACATTAAAATTCTCTCCCAAAAGCTTTACTACATTTATCTTAAACTATACAAACATATAAAGGAAAACAGCAGGAAAAACAATCAGCTTCAAATTTTATGAAAATTTGACTAAAACAAACCTTCTTTAACACGCACATTAAAGGTTTCTAATATATGTTCGTAACTCATTAAGGAATGTAGGGAACCGGCTTTGTATTTAAAATTAATCACAAAGGAACAAAACATCGGAGTTTTCAGTTACAGTGCTAAACCATAAACATCAGCTCCACAACTAAGCTCATGTTTATGTTATTACCGGAGCCAAAGGACTAAGCTACAGCTGCACTAGCAGAACTTCTTGTGTGCACAACTGCTGAACCTTGCCCATAATTATATATATATTATATAATATTATATTATATAGATTATATAGATTAATATATAATATATAATGTTTATAATATTATATATTATAATATAAAATATCACTATATTATATATAGTAATATATAGTATATAATGCATATATTATTGCATAGGATATATAAAATATTATATAATTATATAGAATATTATATAATTATATAGAATATATTATATAAGGCAATATATAACTACACTACAATACAGTTATATATTATTATACTTCTATATATACAGTATATATTAACATAATTCTATAGTATATATATATATTGCGTGTGTGTGTGTGTGCATAGATATAGATGTAAACTATGACTCTATTGCCTTAACTCAGAGGGAATTAAGTAAAAGAGATGCTATGTGTCAGCAGAAGGAAGAGTAGAAGGCACCGAGACCCCGCGTTCTGCCCTGAGCCTGAGCTTTGCCCCCAGGGCAAACCTGGCCGCTCCCGAGCGCTCCCGGCGCCATGCCCGGGACGGGACGGACGGGACGGGACGGGACGGGAGCCTCCGGGGAGCCGGGGCGGCACTGCCGAGGGCCACACTCACTTGGAGGCACCTGTGGACGGCGGGCAGGGCCATGGGAAGCGCCGGGAAGGCCGAGACAGCGGGCGGGACCCGCCGGGATGGCCGGGCCGGATATGCTGGAGCAGGGCACGTCATAGCCGAGCGACCGCCGGCGTTCCGGGGACACCTGGCGCCATCCCTCTTTCCCGGCGAATGGCGGCCACCCTCTGCCCCTGGAGCCGCCCTAAAAACACCGCAGCCTCTGCTTGTCGCTTTTAAATTGTCACTTTTAAACTGTCACTAAGTTTCACTTGGTGGGATTCCTGGGGTGTCCTGCGCAGGGCCAGGAGGTGGGTTCGGTGATCCTGAGGGTCCCTTCCAACTCGGCAGATTCAATGATCCTGAGACTTTCTGTGACTAACAGGCACCGGGTGGGTGGGATTGAGAACGCTGCCGACCACGGACCTGCACGGATATATTTGTACACCAACACACACCAAGTGATGTATCTCTGTAAAAGCAGGTTCTGCATCTCCTGCCCCCAGCACAACAGGTACAGGCTGTTCCAGTAACATCCACCGAGGCAGGAGAAAAGGGCATGCCTGGTAATGCTGCTACCCAGCGAGGTGGGGGCTGTATCCTTGGTGTTTGTGGTACTTGCTATTGCTACTGTTTGCTAGGCTTTGCCTTTGTGTATAAATATCTAAAGGGAGGGCATGCCAAGAGGATGGAGCCAGGCTTCTCTCAGTGGTGCCAAGCAATAGGACAAGAGGCAACAGGCAGAAACTGGTGGAAGTTCCACCTGAAATTGAGGAAAAACTTCCTTACTGTGCAAGTGACCTCACACTGGAACAGATTACCCAGAGAGGTTGAGGAGTGTCCCTCACCGGAGATATTTAAGAACTGTCTGGACGCAATCCTGTGCCATGTGCTCTGGGATGACCATGTTTGAGCAGGGAGGTTGGACCAGATGACCCACTGTGGTCCCTTCCAACGTGACCCATTCTATGATTTGTTCTTTGTATTTTGCTGTTATTTTTGGCAGAGAGGTTAGAGGGCATACAGGCAGAATGAAAGCATTCCACCATCATGACAGACTGTACCTTACAGACACCATATCAACAGCAGGCACTCACCAGCCATGAGAAGTTTACCCATTCCAGCAAGACTGACCCAAGGCAGTGACTACTGCCTGCTGGTCTCCCTAGCTTTTGCTATTGGCAGTTTACAACCCTTCCTATTCCTCTCTCATTTGCTAGGTCTCAAATCTAAGTCTTCATTTGTTCTCTGCATCTCCTGTCTTTATACAAAATGTTGCCTCTCTTGTTTCTTAAAGCACATCACATGTTCCCATCTTTTTTTCTTTTTTGGTGTAAAATGTTGCCAGATGCCACCCACCCCTTCATCTTGACCATGTAGCCCACCTGACTGCAGAGCCTGGCAAATCTTGCAAAGACTCATAGATTCATAAAGATCATCTAGTCCCAACCCCCCTGCCATAGGCAGGGACACCTCCCACTAGACCAGGTTGCTGAAGGCCTTTTCCAGCCTCGCCTTGAACACTGCCAGGGTTGGGGCATCCACAGCTTCTCTGGGCAACCTGTTCCAGTGCCTCACCACCCTCACAGTCAAGAATTTCTTCCGTATATATAACATAAATTTCCCCTCTTTCAGTTTGTACCCATTACTCCTTGCCCTATCACTACAGCTCCTAACAAAGAGTCGCTCTCTGGCCTCCTATCTGTGAGCCCCCTTCAGGTACTGGAAGGTTGATGTGAGGTCTCCATGCAACCTTCTCTTCTCTGGGCTGAACAGCCCCAACTTTCTCAGCCTGTCATGCCAGGTAAGAGAGTGGGGAGATGACAGCAGCTCAACACTGCCTACTTGTGAGTCTACGGTTTACCGAAAACATGGCCCAAGACAGGTCACATTAGGCTGTGAGTGGAAACTGTAATCAGATTAAGGGAGGTGGCACACAGCTTTGGCTCCAGGGCACAACCCCAGCATCTCTCCTCCTCTACTCTCAACCCAGTCGCTCATCTGTTCAACTTCTTGAACTGCACACAGGGGTCACAGTGAAAGGTAAAAGCCTTGTCTAAATTCAGCTCAGCCTTCACTGTGCTGAGCTAAATGGACACAAGATCCAAGCTCTGAGGCTTTCAGCAACCCGAAAGTGCATGTGAGGGAAGGACATGCCCGTGGTGTTAACTGCTGCCAGGAATCCTATTTGTGAAGATTTCTGAGTTGGTTCCACAGTTGCAGAAGTAGCCACCCAACACTGCTAATTCTTGGGGCCCGTGACAAGTCACCTTGTCCCCAAATAGCCTGGCATCAAGGTTGCTACTTCAATCAGCAATTAACATTGAATGAATTAGCAACTTGCAGTTCATACTATGGAAAGCAGAAGGTCACTTCATGATACAGCTGGGTACAGCTACTAGCCACAGTAGCAGTAAGAAAAAATAAAACTGGGTGGGATAGGACCAGCCAGCAATTGTAATGGTGCTGCAGAGAAAGGGAAGTCCCATTTTCAGATGGAGTAGCAACACCCTGAGATGCAGTTACTCAGTTGTATTCTGGTTTATCCAGAACAAACAAGATCTCAGGTGAGGAGTCTATAAAACAGGAATAAAAGTTACATACAGAAGAAAATACAGCATACTATATACAGAGGGGTTGAAATAAGAATCATTTTAACTGAGTTTATCTTTGGTTACTGTAAAGGACAGTAGTAATTGTTTCCCGTGTACTGCAGAGGAGAATGAGCAGAAATAAAGTTACTTTCCAACGGAGATTAGTTCAATTGGCTATCAAAGAAAAAAATACACATAGTTCTCCCTCACTAGATATTTTAATAAACACATCAGAAAATGATCAGGCATTACTTTGAATACAGGTATACCTAATATGCACTGCATAGTGGCATACAGGAAGTACACAGACCATTTTAAAGTCCCTTTTTGGCTAACATTTCAATGATTCTATGTTACTAATTTAGAAGAAAATGCACTCTCGATATAATAATGATTCTGGTATTTTGCAAAACTTTGTAAATGACTATTTCAGTAATACTTTTTCCAGTGACAAAGGGAAGATGTTGTGTAAGGCGTGCTCCAAAATCATTGATTTGTCAGAAAATGTATAAGCATGGGATTACCTAATGCAACCCTACTATAACTCCAAGTGTAGCCTTTTTTTGCCCACGGATTAAAAGTCAGTGTGTCCTTTCAACCCTCAGAGAGACCTGCCATCCTAATCAGATATTCCAGGAATTAAAATTCTCCTGTGAAAATCTACACCCTCTGTAAAAACTTACACAAATTTCACCTGCCCCAAATTAATCTCTTCTATTCCATCCAAAACAGCTGTGTCAGCAACAAATCCCAAGTCCCTGTCAGGCTGGAAGATGGCAAGGCTTATGTGGGTTTTCTGCCCAATATGTTCTTTGGCACAATCAGTGCTGCCAATCTCACAGGCAAATGCCAGCTCAAAAATCACAGAACAACCTTGAGCAAAATGGCCAACATGGGAAAAAGGCCCTTTTCCCATCTTGTTTTGATCTTTGGTCACAGACTAATAATCCCATTTGTGTTCAGGAGCCTTCCCTGAAACAGGGAGAAGCAGTCTGGCTTTCCCGGGCCTTGGCACAACCACAGAGGGCAGCTAAATATACAAGTTCAGAATTCAGTTCAGAACACAAACATTTCTTGCATATCATGAGGAAAAGCACCAAGACATGACTGGATCTAAGATGACTGTTTGCAGAATTGGAAAAAAAAATTTTCTCTTAATACGTGAGGAAATCAATGTTAACTTAAAGCTGACAAAACCAAACAGAGGTAATATTTACTAAACCAAATTAGCCTAACAAGGATCCCTGTAACAGCACACTGACAGAAGTTCTCTATCCCCCTCAGTGATAGAAACTTCAGATTATAACAGTAGGTTGTTTTAAGTGGATAATGTTCAATGTTTTCAGTGGATAATGTTCAAAAAACAATACTGGCATGCATGTGGCAGAGACAGTCTGCTGCTTGTCCCTTCAAGGCCAGGGAAAAATACCTTATTATTCTACACTCATGGACATGGTCTAGGAAAGAAAGTAACAGCTTAGGACTGCATTACCTTGTCCACAGAACTCCCTACAGAGAAGAAAAACATCTCTCTATGTAGAATCAACGGCACTTGCACATCAGGAAAGCTCTCTCAGCCATACCTCCTGGAAGGGAAAATTTCCCATCATGACAGAGCCAGTCTGAAAACTCCAGAAAACACTGAAGGATGCCATTTTACCAGTAGAGCTGTCTATCAGACCTTGAAACAAACAAAAAAACCATCTCGATTTCCATGTTAGCCAGCCCCCAGGATACATCTGAAGGTAGAGTCCTGCACTGCATGTTTGAGATTGTTGGTTAGTTTGTGGTAGGAGGGAAAACCTGGACAGTGTCTAAGCAGTTATCCCTGGGCCTCCTGGACATAGAGGAGAAAGACGGTCAGAATGACTCTGCATGGCAGAAAGGGAACACGTAAAACATCTAATACACACCATTTAGAACAGTGCATTAATCAAGCATTATGTCATACATGGCTTGTTAGCGAGCATTAGGAAAAACTGTGCCAGTGTTAGGAATTTCTGACTGATGGAGCAGAAGTGGGATCAGCACAGCTCTTCTAGGGGGTAAAGAAGAGAAAGCATCTACTTACTATCTACCTTCCCTTCTTGTAGGCAAAACAAAAATCTGGACTAAGCACCCTCTTTTATCAGCTATAAAATCTCTCACTGCAACATTACGATTGCACTAAACTATAACATCATAGCAGTTTACACAAACAAAAAGCTTCTCATCTGGGTTACCTCTTAAAGGCAGGCTCAAACTATATGCTTTGTGAGATTCCTGATAAAACCTCCAGGGAAAAGGGCTAGAGACAGTAAACAACAATTTTATATGACTAATCCAATATAATCCTATGCTGGGTAAAAAAGCCATCTGCATGGATTCCTACTGAAGTGCTTTAATAACAGCGCAGCAAGCCTCCAGCTGTCATGCTGAGGAAACGCTCTTTCGCACTCAGGCTAATAATTCCAAAAGATTACTTCCTTTT